GCAGTTTAAATCATGATGGATTTCGTATTCCTGGGAAAGAGAATGGAGTGTAAAATGGTTTCAGCTGTAGAGGAAAGTGATGGGAATGAGCTTTTTAACATGGTACCTTATTACTTAATAAACCAGCTTTGAAAGGGTGTCACACATCTGGACAGCTTTAGTGCTGTCAGATAAGATCTGTGTGAGAAAGTGTCCGCCCGGCTGCTCCAGAGGGCACTGACATCTCTAAAGAGCCCCTGACCTCTGACCTCTTCATAGACAAGAACAATACAGAACAGAGTTTTTTTTAGATGTTATCATTAAAGCATTGCTATATAACTCTACTGAGGATACTCTTTAATCCCAACATGCTGATGTTCTCATAGATTTGGTCTCACATTCAGACACATCCAGTACTTATTCCTGCATTTCACTTGTTGCATTGTTGTAGCCTGGGATTTAAGATTGCCAACAACTATGCTATAGGACTTTTGAGTGTGTATGCAGGGGGGGCAGCCTTTTGGGATTCAGTGATCACATTTCACTTTTACTGAGGGGTTGTAAAACTTGGAGTGTTGTTGACATGCCAGAGGAGGTGTGGTGAGGGAGGGAGGGAGGGAGGGCAGATTTCATGCGTGAATATAAGAGCCACTGCAGGCTGCACGGGACAAAAAGCTTTTCCTCCAGGACACATCTTGTGAAATACTGAATGTGAGCAGGTACGTTTCTCCGCACGCTAATGAACAATCTCCTGCTTCTCTTGGTGCTTTTGCAATGCTGAGTATGTGCTGTTATGTGTTGCAGCTGGGGAGTTTATAAGATAACATGCTGCCAGTGAATTCAGCCATAAATAATCACAAATTGTTTTATGTAAACTTATTAAGCTTGAGATGAAACATCTGCACACAGCTGGAAACCAGACAAGGATTACAAAAATGTAATCAGGGGTCGAAGACATGACCTTTGTCTTTCTCAAGAACTCAGTTGGAGGGGTTTGTGATGGGAGAATGTGAACAGCAGCCAAAATGTGCAACACAGAGACTGGTGGGAAACTCTGCTTCTAATTTTGTGTGTGTTTCTTTCTGGGATTGAATCAGTTTGTGTCTTTGCAGCGATCCGCACAACATCAACAGCAGCCATGAAGTTCCCCGCTCTGTTCTTCCTCCTGATCCTCACCTGCATGTACATGAGTCTGGCACAAGGTAAGATCACACTCGATTCACACGTATGATAGAATGATATTAACTGTGTTTAGTTTGAAGACGGATAAAACTGTCCCTTCGTTATTCATAATACCTCAATGTAACCACCAGACTCAGGGACAGTTTATTCCACAGGCCATAAGACTACACCTGAACTCTGTGGAGAACATCCATAAACATTCATCTGTTTGCATTTTGCAATTTATTTATCTAATATATAATTCCATTTACTTGTATATAGACTCGTCTTGCACTATTCCTATTTTATTTGTATTTACTTGCACATCTCAAAACATTCTCTTGCACTTTTATTTGTTCTATGTCCTATATATTCATGTTGCACTGTTGGAGGAGCCTGGTGTTGGGGAATCATTTGCCCTCGTGTCCTAGATGCCTTGAGCAGCCGCTATCTCCCTTAAGGACACACTCAAAAGTCCCCTTAAGGAGGGGCTGCCCTAGCAAGTTGTTGTTGGTACCAGTTTGTGACCGGGCAGCTCTCGGTCAGAGATAGTTATTGTTGTGGGACACCTGGAACACATCCTTCTCGGGGTGTAGATGACCAAAACCCATAAGCGACAACAAATGTGATTCAGTGTCCTCAGCTGTTTAGTCTATCTATTGAAGAATGTTGATTATTGAACTAGTTAAAACCTGGAGCTACAGGAGGGGTCTTCAGAATTGATTGTGACATCTCAACCGTGAGGTCACACGGCCCGTGACATGTCTTGTGAATTCTCCGGCCTAAGCTCCAAATAAACTGTCAGTGTTTGCCATCAAAGCTCCAGCTCTCCATCGTCTCTCTCTGAGTCCTGTTTCCAATTGCTTCAGAAGTTTCCCCCACACCTGGGACTTACATTTTTCATTGCCATATCTACACTGTAGTTAATGTGCAAATGACAATAAAGCCTTTAAACCTGTTGTGTAATACCAGCATGTTATATTGAGAGCTAAAAGGAACTGTATATGCATGTTGAGAACTTGTCTGCAGATGTATTTCATAATCAACATTCCTTCAGATTAGTACTAAATCTTATCTTTCAATGGGGTGAATTATTCTGCTCAAAACAAATTACTGCAACACTTCATGCCAACATGTGATCTGTCTGGGCTTGTTGTTATTGACTGCTTTCTTTCATGTGGTAAACTTTTGACGGGTCTGAGAAATAAAAAATGCCCCCTCTGTGAAATGCAGCAAATCTGTGACATGTGTTTGGCATCAAAATGAAACAGACAGTTTCTTGTTTAAAGCAAAGTAACTGTGACACATGAATAGTTTTGGCGAGTAGTTCAGAGTTACATGATTAGACAAAATGCTTGCCGTTAAAAAAATATTAGTAAAGACCACTGTTACACTCTTTAGGAAAATACTGCATGTTTTCTCTTCAAACACACAATAAGTCTTTGTTTGAGAAACACGCTCTGTTTCCCCAAATGTCAAATCAAAACCCCTTTAACGTAATTCAAGTGAAATAGTAACTGGTAAGAGTAAGCAGGGCTGTAGCCAGGGTTTTAGAAACACAAACATTAGTCCGGACCTCCAGCAGTGCACCCGCCACCCAGTAGATTTAACAACAATTAGGTTACCAAGAATATTTGGACATTTCATAACTCAGTTGTTTAGTTAGTGTGGGTGTCGAAAATGCAGTTTCTAAAACCCTCACTGACAGGCTGTCATGTCTTTCCTCAAGAAAGGAACATCGGGGTATCAAAAAAGGAAAGAAAGGAAAGAGAAAGAGAAAGAAAGCAAACTGAGGGGAGACAGCCTCTAACACATTTATTTCAAAAGGAAGGTGAGCACACAACCAACACAGTTTAAGAATAGTTTCAGCCGTTGTTTAGATTGAAGGCAGTCAGCCAGGAATCTAGTGTGGAGCATATCTGCATTGTATAACATGAATATGTCATATGACATCATAATGAGCTAGCAAAGCTTAACATCATGAAACACATGGCCTCTAGTTTCAGAAAGAGCCACAGATAGTGGAGCAGCGGCAGGTCCCTCATCTCCTGAGGATGTCACTGATGACGTGATAACAGGTGAGCTTATATCGTGGCAGAAGTTATATTCTGACTGAGCAATCATTTGTAGTTACCACTACTGCTTATCAGAGATGGCAAAAGTACACACATCCTTTACTCAAGTAGAAGTACAGATACTCGTGTTTAAAAATACTCTGGTAAAAGTAGAAGTACTGACTAAACTTCTTTACTCAAGTCAAAGTAAAGAGGGCTTTGAAATGTACTTCAGTAAAAAGTACCCGTAACTAGCAGCTGTTTTAAAGAGTACCTGACCTCCCTTTATATTAATAGAACAATAATGTCATTGTTAGCTAATGAATGTTTCCATGCTGAACAACGGCAACATGACAACGTTTTCATTGGTCCCTCTTCTTTAGAGAAGACCAGGAAATGATGGATACACGGATCGTGTTCAAATCAATAGGCACGCAATGACTCTAAATAATAATGATCACGCCACCAAACACACATTCAAACTAAAGGAACCAGCCTGTTTGGGAAATGTGAGAAGTAGAAAGTACAGGTATTTGTGTTCAACATGTAAGAAGTAGAAAGTACAGGTATTTGTGTTCAACATGTAAGAAGTAGAAAGTACAGGTATTTGTGTTCAACATGTAAGAAGTAGAAAGTACAGGTATTTGTGTTCAACATGTAAGAAGTAGAAAGTACAGGTATTTGTGTTCAACATGTAAGAAGTAGAAAGTACAGGTATTTGTGTTCAACATGTAAGAAGTAGAAAGTACAGGTATTTGTGTTCAACATGTAAGAAGTAGAAAGTACAGGTATTTGTGTTCAAAATGTAAGAAGTAGAAAGTACAGGTATTTGTGTTCAACATGTAAGAAGTAGAAAGTACAGGTATTTGTGTTCAACATGTAAGAAGTAGAAAGTTCAGGTATTTGGGTTCAACATGTAAGAAGTAGAAAGTACAGGTATTTGTGTTCAACATGTAAGAAGTAGAAAGTACAGGTATTTGTGTTCAACATGTAAGAAGTAGAAAGTACAGGTATTTGTGTTCAACATGTAAGAAGTAGAAAGTACAGGTATTAGTGTTCTACATGTAAGAAGTAGAAAGTACAGGTATTTGTGTTCAACATGTAAGAAGTAGAAAGTACAGGTATTAGTGTTCAACATGTAAGAAGTAGAAAGTACAGGTATTTGGGTTCAACATGTAAGAAGTAGAAAGTACAGGTATTTGTGTTCAAAATGTAAGAAGTAGAAAGTACAGGTATTTGTGTTCAAAATGTAAGAAGTAAAAGTAAAAAGTCGTCAGAAAAATAAGTAGTGTAGTAAAGTAGTAAAGTAGTAAAGTACTGATACCAGAAAAGTGTACTTAAGTACAGTAACAAAGTATTTGTACTCGACTACTTCCCACCTCTGCTACTTATACTTTAGTTCTACTTTAGTTCATTAGTAACTACTCTAATAACCGCTACAGATTCATGCGTACAGTTGTTGGCTCAATCAATGGTAAGTACATTTCAAAAGATGCAGAGAGACATGGATCAAGAGAGGAAGGGGTCCACAGAGACAGCTTATGTACAGTCAGAGTGTTGTGCTTCGCCCCTGAGCACAGGGTTCATGTTTTATGAACGAATGCGTTTTGAATACATTTCTGAGTGATGACCTTTTCGTCTTGTTTTTCCCTTTGTGCTTATGTTCTCATAACTATTTGCACATCCATGTGACATCCCTGTAGCCTACATATGCTGATAGCTTAGCCTCTTATGAAAAATAACATGTATATTAGTTGATTAGTTGATTGAACAAAAAGCCCAGGCGAGCCAAACATGAAAGAAGGG